TTCAGAAAATTCCACGACGCTCCTACCGCCCGCACGCTCCACGACATTCCCGACGACACAAACACCCTCTCCCCCAACTTGCATTTCCACATTCCGATCGAAAATATCATTATATCATATCTTATAAGAAAATCTAAAGAACCCAAATATTTCGAAAATCAAATATTCATTTTTAAATTAAAAATAAGACAAAAATAGAATCGATTCTTATGAATATACTAATGCCTAGAGATTATAATTCAGACAATATTGTGTCACGCCCTGTGGAACGAATAATTATATATTTTCGATTTGAAAATACTAAAGAAATAATATCGACTATAGTCTAAATCCTAAAAATCTTTATTGTCGTCTCTTATTATAAAGTCATAAGATATATTTTTTTTTATCAATCTCGCGATTCAATTTTTTATGTATTCATTTATCATAGCTCCTATATTATATCTTTATAATGAATCAATTTTTCTTTCATCATTATATATATATATTTTTTTTTCAAAATCTATTTATAATATCTTTTAAATAGCAAATCATATTTCATCATGTCATTCCAAATTCGATCGAATCATTAAATCTTTTTGTCGATCATTAATATATCTTACAAATTTATCTTTTGTAAAGCAATTCATTAATATTAAGATATAGATTTAATATAATATTAAATTTCAAATTATCGAAAAATATATAAAATATGTATTCTCATATTTATAAATAAATAAATATATATATATATATATTATACTTCTCTTTTTATCAAAAATTTGTATATAAATTCATATCTATTTGAACAATATATCAAATTTATGGCTTCTAAGTTTTGGATGAAATTAATTAGTCTCTAGGCTTTATTCCACGTCCGGAGGTATAAATATATGCATGCATATATAATATATACATATATGAATATATATATGTATGTGCAAGACCAGACGAAGATAATATAGATAATTCCGAAAAAGATTATTTCATAAAGCTTCTCGGTTTCAGACTATTATTATATTTATATATTAAAATAATATAATATGTTTTTTTGCTTGCCATTAGACTTAGATGCTTGCAAGCATCCAAAGACTTAGCTTTCGATAGTCGATGAAATAATTGGCTCTAACATTAGAGTTTAGGGTTTAGGATAGGCTCAGAGATTTATTTCAATCTTACAAGTGCGTGGTCAGAGTGTAAGCTATAAGAACTATACCATTTTCTTAGCCATGACGTTACCATGACCGATAAAAGTTCCCATACAGAGATATCCACCAACAAATATGTCCCTATAGTGGGATCCGCATATATATATATATATACCTACCCACCTACATATATACATACAGACATACATACATCCACACATAGAACAAAGCCCAAGGGTCAGTTAGTTTAACCCAAGGTTCAGAAGCCACCAATTTGGCTAATAATTAATCGATGAAATGGATCCTTGATATTCTACAAATTATCAGATCAGTTGGGATAGAATCATCGATTTTGAATATATATATATATATATAGATATATATGTATGTATTTATATAGACAAAGAACATATTATATAATATAATCTTGCCTGCGTACGTTTTATATAAAATAACAGACCGAATCTATCTTTCTTAGTGATAGCTAAGGTCGACAATTTTTGTGGCCAAATTTTTTCGAGTTCAATCCGTATCTTCCTCGCAAGGTCTCATGCATGGTCCAAGCCGAGGGACATGTGTTGTGACTCGTCGCAGGCTGAAACTGTCACCCTGGCACTCCTTAACATCCGCCGTTTGCCCTCGTGATCGTTGCCGCCTACACGTGCAGCGACAGACCAGCCAGGTCAAAGTACGGAGCCACAAAATCCAAAGCCAGCGCGCTGTGGCGAAAGGCCGGAAGAGGGCCGATGCCATGCAAGCGAGAAATGAGATCAGCGGTCAAGGCACATAAGGCCACACTGGACACCGAGCCCTATCCTCCATAAAGATCAAGGCAGCGACTTCGAAGCCTTGAAGCTCCCGCTGCTGCACCATGTGTCCCGGACATCGGGCACCCAAGCTCCAGCCTGCCAAAATCAGCCGTTTAGGGCTTTGCAAGTGCATGAAACTTGTCAAGTGGTTCAGGACGTGCATCCACAAGCCATGATTAAGTCCACGGTGTCGACGTTGTACAGGGTACCCTCAAGATGTGAAGCCAAAGCTGCGAAGCTTGCTCCCCCGGGTCCCACCCTGCAAGCACCACCGAAGCCATAGACGCAGCCGCAACTGCACGGCATCTCAGCTGCTCTCAACTGCTACCCCTAGGAACGGCTTTCTTTTGGGACTTCGGCAAGACCCGCACCCAACGAAACTCCTGCACCAGGCACGCTGCCGCGTGGCAGGCAGGCTTTTGAGGGCTTGTGACGGAAGCGTTTTGGTCGAAAGCGGCGAAGAGACACAGATGAGCCTTGCACTGCCTCGCAAGTCTCAACCGTTGAGCTCCAGACGCGGCATTTGCAGCATGCCTCTGGCTTCAAGAATTCCCCGCATCCTACATATGCAGTACGGGTGGCGTTGCCTTTTGCTGGAAGTGGAGAGGCGTGCACGGCTCAAAGCTGCATCAGGGATGACACGGCCAAGAGCTGTGTTCTGCATGCTCGACACTTCCTGGAAGCTGTTACAACCGGGGCTCACTCTCAGGTAGTCGGCACTTCAATTAATGGCAGTATGCCCCGACCTTCCCACAGCACTGGGAAAGCGTGCTACTCTCAGGATTCTCAGGTCACTGTACTTTACAAATTGAACTTTGTGTGAATACATTGGCTCAGTGATGCAGCTGTGTCAACAGCATGCCACCCAAGGAGCAAAAAGTCGCGTTGGCGCTGCGGCCAGGGTGAGATGCTTCAGTCGAGTAGTCCGTGCCACTGTTGAAACCTCGAAGCCTTGAACAATGCCGCCGTGTGGTCGAAAGCACGGTGCTTGCCACAAGCTATTGGACGGCAGTCGCCAAACAACACGGCAGCATCTGCAGGCAAGTTAAGTCCTGGAAGTCACAGTCCTGCAGCCCAGGCTGAAGACAGGCAAAACTGCGAGATTTAATGCAGAAGTACACAGCTGATGCACTCACCACAACAGCCGGCAACCTGTGTGTGAGAAGTGACTTCCCAAAGCCTTTCTGCAAAACTGCTAAGTTCTGCACCAGGACATCTGGAAGTACAAAGATTTTGATCACAGGCCATGCTGGCCTCTGGGAACGAGAACCGGGTAAGATGGCACAACGAGAGCTCGCTTCAACAAGTCGGCAGAGTGAGCTCACCATCTGCATTTGTTTGTTGGGAAGTGTCCCGTGAGCATCCCTGTAACATGGATCGAACATCCCGTCTCCTGGGCACATCCCTACAGACATGCTGTGTGGCACACGACCTCAGAGACGGCTGTGGTGCAAGGATCGCTGAAAGCAGCGATACCTGCCGGATCATGAAGACCCCCAGGAGAATTGCAAAAGACCTCACGTGTAAATAGGTTTGGAGTTTAGAAGCTTGTCGTCTCACGAGCCGCGGAAGGCAGGCGAATGAGAGGTCTTAGCATAATCGTGCGCAGGCAGCTGCGCAGGCCCATCGTCGGAGCAGCATCAAGGAGCAGAAGTCACTTCCCAGCAAGCAGGAAGCGCAAATCGGACCTTTGCAGATGTCTTAAAACATGCCACCCCAAGGCAACCATCGGCCTATGCACTCCCTCCTGCATTCCAACGTGCCACTTTTGAAACAGGCACGGCGTGCGAGTCGCTACAATCTGATGTGAAAGAGGCGAGTTTTCTCAGGACAGGTTTAAGCAGGATCGGGAAAAGGCATCGTCGCGTGTACATTTTCGGGATATGGAGGGTTGGACCCTGATGCCGGCGCTTTCCAGCCAAACTTCGTGTTCCACCGCAATCAAGACAAGATGAGCTCCAGGATCCAAGCTGCCGGAAATGCAAGAACTGCTGACTGCGTCTGCCGAGGCAGACACCTTGATGTTACTGTGGCGATGACAAGGTCGTTGTACGTCCTATATTGGAGGAGGTGGAGAAATGACGTGCTGGGATGAAGGCACCGCAGAATCACTTAGGCCACTTAGGAAGTTGTATGGGTGCATGCCACAACAACCCAATCTCATGGCCCTTCCACCTACTGAGCTAGTACTGTAGCCTGCTTTGAGTTCACAAAGCCACCCTTGCAAACCAACCGTCCTGAAGGCTTCAAGCGCTAGACTATGTGCCAGCTAAGCATACCTCTGACACGAGATGAAACACGAGATGAAGCCTCTGAGCTCTTCGCGGCCGCGCTTCGCCAGAGTCAGTGTCAGTGCGCCCTGTGACATTAGCGACATTGCCAGGCCCACTTTTTTGGAGCAGGGGCTGCAGCGCAGATTGACCTGATCCTTCAGCAACCGCAATGTTTGCCTGGACCCACTTGGCACTGCAATTGGTAAGGTGAAAGAGATGGATCATTGCTTTCGGTGAGCTGGGCGCACAAAGCGCTAAAGGAAAGTTACCCAACTAGTCAGTGCCGCCATCCGGGCGGGAAAAATCTTATGTCGGCGACTGGGATGTAAGACCAAGCCTCAACCATCGTGGATTGCTAGCGTTGTGCAGTTCGCACACTGTGAATCGAGATGGGGTTGATGTTGCTTGGCTGGTAGAAATGCCACGAACGAACGACAATCGTGGGTTGGCAGTCCGCACATGCATGTTTCGCGGCGCGATGCACTTTTAGCGATGGAGGATGTCGCAAGCAAAGCGTCTCAATGAAGTGGCACTAGTACAAGAGTCCTCTACGAGTCCTACCAAGCAGCAGGAGAGACACAGGAGTCTCCTGGAACGTTCCTCTCTACCCATTCCCGACAGACCCGTTCGAAGGAGGCAATAGTTTGTCACTTTTTGCTGACGTAGTATGCTGCACCATGGGAAGCGGTGATCCAAAGAGCACGTAGCAATTGCAAATCTCCTCTGAACTCCCAGGTCAAACTTTGCTGGATCCCAAGTATGGATGGCTAAGTAGCTTAGGAGCCCCGACTTCATGTCAATCGCCCCTGATCAACAAAACGGTGCTGAGATGGGATCAACACCTGTGCGCAACAGTGGTTGCTATTATATCTCAGACTGAAGCTGTCAAGCCGTAGCAGCTTCAGGGTTTCGAGAGGAGACCGGAGGAACTCAGGTGTGGCAGACCAAGCCCGCAAAACAGTCAACAGCTGAAGCTTCAACGCCCGATGAGAAGGGAAGCCGAGCTTCTGCGTCAGGGCTGTGCAGCGCGCTCGGCGCACACAGACTTCCCGCAGTCTCTGCCCCCACCACCTCTGCCGGGCGCAGCGGGAGAAGGACAACGATGACGCGCGGGCTGCAACTACTCCACCGATGGCACAGGGGACTCGCGCTGCGAGCTCAAGGTTCTGGATCCTAAAGGCCTCTGCAAGCGCCCAAACCATTCGGGTCCTGGCTAGGGTCTGGGAGCTAAAGGCCTAAAGGCCTAAAATCTCGAGCTCAATTCTGCAACCCTGAAGCCTTTCAGGCTAGGCCACCCCAGCAGTGTTGCCAGCAGACTCTCGTTGCAGGGCTCAGGCTCCGACGCTGCGACGAGAGGTTCGGGGCTCAGGGTTTGGGGTCTAGGATGCTGTCTATTGGGTGCTTCGGCTTGAGGGTTTGCCTTACGTGCAGGAACCTGCGCGACCGTTCCTTCTAAGAAGTCTGTTTCGCTGCACACGATGCTGGACTTCCAGGTCCAAAAACCTAAACCCTAAACCCATAACTCATGCTTTCCATAGGGACCCAAACCCCTAAACCCTCAACCCTCAACCATGCGCCGATGCAGGCGGGACTTGTCAACGTCGGGCTGCAGCCCCAGGTTCAGACTGTTTCAGGCGCCTGCCCAAAATTGCCGTGATCTCCTGAAGGGCTGCTAGAGATTGAGCTTCGCTCTGCGGTTTAGGGTTTAGGGTTTAGGGTTTGGGCTGCTAGAGACTGATCTTCGCTCTGTTGCAAAAGCAAGGGCTCAGGTGTTTGGTGCTAACATTCCCGAACTCGGGAGGTACAAATGTTGCGCGGAGAACGCTGAGATTCTCGCATCGCACAACTACACAAGACAGATGCAGAGAGCGACGCGTATGAAGGGTATCTTGCTTTTCTTCGAGACCATCCAGGCTTGCTCGAGGTCATGATACAAGCTAGGTCGAAAAATGCAAAAAACAGCCGCATCGTCGGCCAGTGCAGGGACAATTTTCTGAAAGCAGTCTCATGTTCCTTTCATGTTGTCTGCCGCTTGTTTACCAAACAAGACGGCACATCAGAAGAGAGACTGCCGGCTCCGACCCTCCCTGCCATGTGATCTGTGCTGCTCTGATACTGGCTGGAACCAAACGGGTATCTCGAATTAGTACTCGTAAGAAAGGCGCAGAGTTTACAAGTCAAGGCCTAGGGTGAGTCATGGCAATGGGCGGGATGGGTTCCTACTACACCCACGAAACCTGCCTGCAACCATGATCGGATGGCCCTGCACATACGACACGCCAAGATGTGCGACTCATCTGCCAGGTTTTGCTGACATCAAGCAGGCACGTGCATCTCACTCACACGTGAGCTCGCTTCCATGGGGGGTGAGGGTTTCGAGTTTTTTTCCCTCTCGCATGGCTGAGGAACTATGCCCACAAGCGAGGTTTCGAGTTTAGGGTTTAGGGTTTATGCAGTCTTCCAGGGTGGAAGGTCTGAACAGGGTCGGTTGGCAGCCATCAGGCAACCCCAAGGCCATGCTCCAGACGGCTGCTTGCCGTTTGCACCGATGTGGACACTTTGTATACGAGAAACCTCTCTGCCGAAGAACGCTATCATCTTACAGTTCTCGTGTGATCTGCCCTGGGTGGTTGACAACAGTACTGAAGACTCGAGACTGTAAAGAAAAAGAACACATCCAAGTAGCCATGTTAGAACCACGGCGTCGCACAGGATCGGCCATCACTATTCCAATCAGGTTCGTCTGAACAATGAGCGTCTTGCGCGCGAGGGGCCAATACCCACAAATCATCCTCCAAGGCGCTACCCAGACTTCGTAAGGGACATGTCCAAAACCTGCACATTCGAGTCTTGCTTTCTGGCACAGTCACTGACGAAGCAAGCAATGCAGTATCTGAGTTTCTTGAAGAGGCTGGGTAACGGTCCAGGACCATCCATGAACCGTCGCAGCATTGTGCGGCGTCGCTCTCTTGCTAGGCTGCGCAGCACACCAACCGTGATTTTCGCAGGGCGTGAGCATGGGAAGGCTTCAACAGATAAGTAGATCCGTCCGACACACTGCGGAATTCGACTTGCGAAATGCACACTCGTGGTGCAAACACTGTGAACACAGCACAGAGTCGTTTCCAGCCCTTGTCTTCGTGGCTAGGCTGCGCAGCAAAACCATTAGAATGGCCGAACATCGTGATCTTCAGAAGGCTTCCAGTAGGAACGGCCTACAGCCGTCATCCTCGGCAGGATCCCACAACTTGTCACAAGCCGGACCTCACGCCTGTAGGAAAAAATGACCCGTCTGCAGAGTCCGAAATCGTTTGGAGTGGCCGAAGCGACGCAGCCTGCCATAAGCAGTTCAATCGGGGGCACACGAAGGAGATTCCCGCTGAAAGATCTCTTTGAGTCGTCGGAAGTGACTCTTGAGTCCATTGAGTCCATTACTAAGGAACCCAAGGCCCAAGGACTCATGTTGATTGGTAGAAATTCCGGCGTCGATGGTGCGGCAACTGTGGAGCCTCTGACTCTTTGGCAGCTTGACGAGAGGTACTTAGGGAGAATGAGAACTCCTTGGGGGGCTGAGTACCGAAAAACCTGCAAGTTTCCCGGTCTAGGGCCTTTTGGGTTCCTTAAAGGGATCTATATGGGATTCTATAGGGTTTCTAATAAGGGTACTATAAGGGTAGTTCTCTAAACTAGGGTCCCTTTTTGGGTCCAGTGGCCAAAACCCTCAACATAAACGATAAGCACTAGGAGCCTGCCTGGAGGAAAACCCCTCGACACTTGACTCCGGGCATCATGATCTGCAGAGCTTCGGATACTCAAACTACCCGCCTCTTGTGCTTGGGGTTGCCTCCTTCTACTTCTAATAGCTCCGTTCGCTTTTTGCAACTGGAACTCCTTGATGCCAGGAAAGTTGCCAGAGACTGCTTAAACCCTCGTTTTTGCAACAGGCCTCCTTGCGTAAACCCCTGAACCCTAAACGCCTGCTCCGTCCTATCTCGTCCTCCTTCTTCCTGCCCCCAGGATGCGACCCAGATGTCTCAAGGCCCAAACCCCAGAGGCCCTCTCTGAACCCTGCATCCACAACCAGGCCTTCAATCACCAAAAAATCTCGGAAGGGACGATGTTGCAGACCTCCGGCGCTCTTCGGAAATTTGATATTTGTGTGACCTGGACCTGAACCCTACACCGAAAACTTACACCAGCAGAGCCAAAGCATCCTAGTCCTAGGCCTCAGGGTTGGGATCAAGACGTACAGGGCGGCGCACAGGAATCGGAGAAAGGCGGACGGTCACAGTCCCATGTGTTGCAGGTAGGGGCAAAATTGGGTTTTGTCTGGAGTTCGCCAGGGTTTCACAGGACATGTTACAGAAGGTCAAGCTAGCTTTGCTAAACCAACATAGTATGGTACACATGGTTTGGGTTCGGACGTTGAGGGCAAAGAGAATCTGGCTGCTGTTCCCGCGACGCCCGCCGCGCACAACCTAACGTCTCGATTCGAGTTTGAGGTTGTCGAGCATCGCATCAGTGCATTCTGGTGGCATGCGTTTGTAACTAATGGACATGCTAACAGATGCTGGCTCACACATCACAAAACGATCCACTGTGGACGAAGGATGTTTTCAAACAGGCGTGCGCAAATGCGTCAAGCAGTGCGTCAAGGACGTAGCGAAACCCTGTGTGTTTTTCAAACGAAGATGTGTTCGGGAAGCCCCTTCTCAAGCGTTGTTTGAGAAACCGATCAACAAAGCCAAGGCCCTCACATCAGCGGCTTGGCTCCTGCATAAGTTGCACTTGGCACCGTCGTCCTTGGCAAGCTGGCCATGCCAACCAAGCCCACTGGATAGCTCTTCAAAGGGCTGGAACCGATGAAGGCACACTACCATAAAAAAACGATCATGTTCATTTCCTGTATGCGCTACAATACCTTGAAACTGTGATTGGGCAAGTCGCGGTGCCGGATTTGCTTGGCTCAGCTGCGATCTCAAAGCATCCAGCCCGCAGATGCTGCGCAAGATTCGCTCTGCCAGGGAGGCATAGATTGGCCGGCACATTGCAGGAATACACACGGGGATGAATCGGTATCAACGCCGTGTCTTTCAACTACTGACTGCGCACTTGCCCTGCAAAAACCTTGGACAGATACTGTGAGAATGGTACGAGGGCCCTGTCCAAAAACGAAGGTTACGAAAGGCACGTGAGCCATCGCATCTGCGGCACTTGACATGCAGCACCACCCTCACCACCCAAGCACTTGAGACCTACATCTGAACCGCACCACTCCAACTCCGAGTCCCCGTAAAGCCCGAAAGGAACGGGGATTAAACTGTCATCCTTGCTAAATGCTCCCAAAACCCTCCAACTACCCTCTAAGACATTCTAACTAACCACTATCTTAAGAAATTAAGGTTATTATGGACCATCGGGCCTCCATTAAAGGGCACTTGGGGGGTCCTAGTTAACTCTAAGCGCGAGAGTGAAACCGGATGAGGGGAGCTTCGGGAGGGGGCTGTCGAGAATGTCGCAGCAGCGCAGATGTAGCGTCTGGGCCCTAAACCCTAAAAGGGAGCCCAAAGGATGCTTACAAGGGAGTGAGACAAAGGTATATGGTGCCAAACAATGGGTGTTCAGGGTCTAATAGAAGTAGGTAACCTAATGCTTTAGGAAGAGTTGTTGATGCATGTTGATGCCAAAAAAATACAGTAACTATTGGCTGAGGTGCCAGGTACACTTTAGTAGACACTGGCGCGGGATCTTTGGACATTCAGTAGTGCTCTCGGGTGTAGGATGCGTGTTTCAGGTCCTGGTTTAGTTCGACTTGGCAACTTAGGGGTGAGTTGTTCAGGATTGACGTTCGGAGATAGTAGTAAGACCCGCTCTAGGGTGTCGGTGACTCAAACAAGAGTCTACGCAGAAGATGAGTTGTGATGGGAAGCGGGGCCATGGAAACTATAGCATTTCGCGGCTGCAGCCCTTAAGCTCCGCTAGACTTCAGGCGGAAACAAAGCAGGTCATTGGCCCGGCATTCACTTTTCCACTGCCGTCAGAAGTCAGCTGTTCCCACGTTTCGGGACTCATAGCGCCAATCAACAGACCGGTCTCGGACACATGGCCTCCAGGGTTCAGGGTGACGCGGAGGCTTGCAAGAAACAGGTATTGCTTCGGTTTCGTGAAACCGTGACAGAGTTTCTAGAAACAGTAGGAGTAGGCATATTCTTGAGCATCCGACGAAACGTAGGGATGGACATAGTCCTGCCATGGGCAAAAGCAGCAGTCGTAGCGACAGGAATCGAGGTAACTAGCAATGGTAACAGAATTGGGGATATGGCGATAAGATGCCAGCTACCAATGATGGGTCGCAGGAAGGAAGGAAGGAAGGAAGGAAGGAAGGAAGGTGCCAAACAGGACAGGCCTGAGGTTGTAAGGCTTTCTTAAAGCTGCCGGACAGTAGATTGCAAGCCGATTCGTCCGCCGTGCCCTACACCCAAATCCATCCCAAGTCCTCCATGTCCTCGACGCCTACCGCCGGAGGAGCTCTCGAAAAGTAGAATTGCTTATGGCAAGGCGGGTATTCGGGGTCTATGTGAGCGCTGCTTGCCGTGAGGGCTTACTCGTGGCGCTATCAGCTGCAACGGAACACAGTCAACCCTAAACCCTAAACCGCAAAAATGTTGCGTGATGCGACAGCACAATCTCTCACTTCCGAGGCCTTCCTAACGCATCGGCGCGCCAAACTCTGAACCCTGATGGGCCACCTAGGGCCCGCCCCCGCTGGGATTGGATGATCCTCGGGAGGTCTGCAGCGAGGTACCTGCGCATCTCAGGCTTGAAGCTAGACTTTTAAAATCCTAAAACTCTCAAAACCCTGGAAACCTGCCATTTCGCATGTTCGCGGGTCGCCCGTTCTACGGGTGCATGCAAAGTAAACCTTTGTGAAACGAAGTACCAGCAGGAAGTCATTCACAACCGCGCGACTTGCGTGCCACACGATCGAGGCTTGCCATCTGGAGCTTCTTGGAGGCTTCATTCCATCGGGATCTCCTCCTGGGGCTCCTCTGGCCGCAGCCACCTCGAGATGTCAACCTCGGTGTAGCGGTATCCTTTCCGCTCGAGCCATGCGACTTCTGCTTTCTGCGAGTTTCCCAGACCTTCCAGGTTGCTCAGTACCCTTGTAAAGAACCCAAAGGTACAGACTTCTTGGGCTACCACCTGCAAAATACTAGGAACCCAAAGGACCAAAAGTGCAACACAACAGCACACCACTTGGCAGCCTGGCCTTCGGATTCTTTCAGACAACGGCCGTCTTCAACCGGAAGCCACTGTAGGAAAAGTCTGTGTTTCTCTCTGCTATGTTGCGAGGAGGAGTCGTGGCGCCTGTTCTTGCATAGATTCTCGATGCCGGCGTCGCTGGCGCATCGATACTCTTCAGACTCCTCGAACTTGTTCATTCTCGCGATTATGGCCTCCATTCTGAGATTCTCGCGACCAGCAGTGTCAAAGTTCTCCACTTTCCCCTGCCCGCATGCTTGCTGGAAAAAATACACGTGGAGCTCAGCACCGCATTGTACAGCTTTCTCAACATTCTCAATCCATAAAGCCCACCACTTACAACCCCAAGGCTTTTGCTCTCCATACAGAGGGGTACACCAGCAATCACCCGCCAAACCTTCGGAGGGCGGGATGGTGCTGTGCTTTCCGAACTCCTTCGTGCCTTCCGGCAGGAAAACCACTGCGGCACTCGTCTCCCCCTCGCGTGCGCTGTCGACCAAGCAATCCCAAGCCGTGGCATATTTGCCCGGCCAAGAAGTGATGCATGGCTTCCCTGGTTCTTCCATCACCCTACCTTGAAAGACGATGGTTTCTTCTAGAAGCCGCCGGCGGGACTCGACGCGAAGATCATCACGGGCCGGGCCATCCGGCAAGAGCGAGCGAGCCAAGGTGCCAGCGAAAGCGCCGAAAAAGAGGAAGAGGAGGTAGCCCATGGGGTGGTTGCGGACAAGTTCTTCCGGATCCTCCAGACCATTGGACTGAACACGGAGGACAAGGAGCGTGACAGCTGTAGCAACTCCGGTCGCAATGCCACACCGAGCTAAGATCCTTGTAACCGCTTTGAAAATGCAAACACACCTTCTGGTCCTTGGCGCTGCCAAGTAGAGGAGAAAACACAGCAGTGCCATGCCAAGTCCGGCGCAAGCGTGAGACCACAAGCCTATGGAGGCCATAAGCGGGATGAGAACAACTCCGGTACACAGTAGGATCAGGAACCCCATGACTGCAAACTTTCGAACCCTCCGTTCCACCTTGGCTTCAGACAGCTTCTTCCTGCGTTGCCGCTCTTCTCTCTCCTTCTGAACAGCTTTCTGCTCGTTGGCTACCCAGCTGCTTGCTTTCGCACTAAACGCTTCCAGGTCTTTTGACGTGCGCAAGCAGTGCTCCGGACCCGAGGCGCGGCCTTGGCTAATGGTGGACATGACAGCTTGGTCCTCTCGCAAGCGGATGCTGAAGCTTTCTTGTGACAGCTCACGCTTTTGATTGGGGTACCAGATCCGCCATCCACGGCCGCTGTCTACTTCCACTGCTGCGTCAAGGTCGTTAACCAGTTGAAGTTTACCACCAGGCACGTCTTCGAGGTACATCTCGGACCATTCTCTGTATGCCTCTGCCTTCATTTCTTGACTGAACAGACCTAAATCCTTAGAGGTGCGGAGATTCTGGCCCTGTGAAACCAATTCAGCCGTGCCGATCCTCCACATCCGTGTTCGATCAGCGCTGAGTCGAATGGCAAAGCCTTCCCTCGCCATTTGGCGGGACTGCCAGGGCTCAAGCTCTTGCCATCCCTCTCCAAGGTCCAGCTCAACGGCGCCACGGAGGTCGTTCAGCAGTGAAACGGTAGGCTCAGGAGTGGGCTCGGGTTCAAACCGAGCGCCATGAAACAAACGGCTTCCCATCGTGCACGCACTTGCTGATAATTGTCATGTAGAGAAAGTACTGCATCCTGGAGTACTCGTGGGTGCGATATCGGGGGTGGCACTTCAGCAGAGCAGGGCTACGACAACTTGAAGAAATCTCGATGTCGAGGCTTTTTCGGCTTCATAAAGACCGCTTGCTCGGACCATCGGGAAGATCTTGAGCCACAAGGGCATCCTGAGTTCTCGTCTGGGCTTCAAGTGGCACCTGCAGCTACCGTTCCCAATCGGGAGGTGCCTGGCCCTTGCACCAGCAGAGCACATCGGTGGAGCCTCTATAGTTAACAGTGGGACTCATACAAAGGTGACGGACCGTTGATGCACCTGATCTGGCCACTCTGCCAGCTGCAGGAGCGCCAGCAATGATTCGCAGAGCTCTGCGTAAAGTCCCCAAACCCCAAACCCCAAAAACCCTAAACAACCCCAAACCCTAAAAGCCCTAAACCCCAAACCCTACAAACCCGCAAATCTCCGGGAGGCAGAAGCGGCGCACGGCAGGAGCAGGTTAGAGGTCCTCGAAGCTCCGGTGCCCAAAGAAACCTCAGGAGGCGAACAAAAGTGCTGCAGACGAGGGCTGCGTCTAAAAGACTTGCCATCGAAGGTGCTTCGGGTTTTGGGGGTTTAGGGGTTTGGGGGTTTTGGGGGTTTAGGGGCTTCAGGGTTTCTGGGTTTTGGGGGATTAGAGGCTTAGGGGTTTAGGGGTTTTGGGGGTTTAGGGGCTTAGGGGCTTTGGGGGTTT